CCATCTCTGTCCACGGTCACACAACAGTGAATTGCTGTACTGGACTGTGCCTGAAAGAAATGACTCTCCACACCAAGAATAGTCTGGAAGTTTGAATGCTGGGAATCACCCAAGGTGTGCGATTGCACCACTTCTGGATGATTGAAAATCTGCCTGCAGACAGAATTTTTGAAAACAGAATAACATTTCAAATGCTGAGGAAAGACTGATAGTTAAGGGAAGGCAGTCAGGGTGAAGTGAATCATCACCTCTGGTTTATCTATTTTGTACAGTCACATTTTAGCAATCAGGTTTCTTCAAAACTAGTCACACTCTATTCTTTATGGTGCCAGAGAGCTCTCTTCTATGGCTTCTCTGAAAGGTCTGAAACATGATGCACCTGTTATCCAAACCATTCAAAATGACCAAAAAAGGATTTCTCAAACTTAGCCTCTGCTGCTGAACTGTGCCCTCAAGCTTCCCAGCTGGTTTGTGAGCCCAGGCTCAGAGCGTGTCCCCGCAGAAGGGAGCGGTTGGGAAACACAGGAGGGCAGGATCCCTGGAGTCCAAACGTATTTTTTTCCTGGTCAGTTAAGACCAACTGTTCTCCTGTCCTGGGAGCAAAGGAGGCTGGGAAGCAGTCACTGAGAAACAGAGAACTCTACCAACTTGTACATGGCACAGGGCAGGCTCACCCAGGCACTCCTGGAAGAAATTGGACTGTTAAGTGGGCAATACACACTGGTCCTCTTCTGGAATTGTTCTCTGCCATAAGAGGCTGCCCCCTCGGGGGCAAGGAAACAGCACCAAAAGGACAGAGGAAATCACTCATGGCAGAGCTAAAGTTATGTATGAATTGAAGTTTACTTCCTGGTACCATGCTGGAGCCATAGCTAGGCCATCTACCACAATTTTATCTTCAGACAAAAATAAAGGTAGATATCAGCTCAGACCATGTGAGTTCCTTTGTCAATGGATACAGTGTGTCTATGTCAGCCTGGAAGGGTAGTTAGGAGCCTGGTGGGGAGAGGTGGAAGGTGAGGGGGAGGAGGAGGGATGGGCCAAGCCTGGAATCTGGGCACCTGCAGGTTTGGACCACAGCAGCAGACCCAAGAGGGCACAGTGGTAGGACCAGTGGAGGAAGAAGCAGGGAAAGGAGAGCCAGAAGACCTCAACTGTCAAGGTAAAGAATACAGACCAGTCCTGGGCCCAGCATAAAGCCAGAGTCTGCAAGCAGGCAAAGTGGATGATGGGATGGTTTGGAAATAAACACACCTGGTGGTAGTGCAGACACATTAAAGGCATCATCTGTAGTGCCCAGAAATGAAAGAATGAGAACAGAAATGGGAAAGTGTCTGTAGAGGAAGGAGGATGGTGGGGAGTTTGGTGACTTGAGAGGAATCTGCCAGAACTGGGCCTCTGGATGGGGAAGGGGTGTGGGTGGCTTGGAGGAAGCTTTGCTATTCAGGAAAGGAGGGATCAAAGCTAACTTTGAGTTTGTCTGCTAGTGCAGAACCACCTAGAGCTTTTCTAGCCTAGATGATGTCTTTCTTACACAAGCTCTTTCACACAATACATCCTGAAATGTATAGTAACAGGTGTTCACTTCTATATTGACGTGCAGATAACTCTGGTTGCTTTGTCCAGGGCATCACCTGCTTCCCCGTATATGTTTTAATGGACGCTTGTAGACCAGGAAGACGCATTTCTGAAAAAATTCACGATGGTGCTTCACGATGGGAAGGACTGTGGAAAATGTGTTTGTCCAGGATAGGATTTCTGTGGCCAGGCTTCCAGGATGTGATTCCACATGAATAATAACCATGGGGCACTGTCAACCACCCCAGAATGCTCAGACAATCTTCAGTAGCCAATCAAATATTCACAATACTAAACACATTACAAGTCATAAAAGAAAATAATGTTTCATGTGAGAAGTAAATGGGGCTCTGAGAATATATACCCCAATGTGGTGTTCCTGAAAAATCTTTCCTGAAGAAGTGGACTTTGAGACCTGAGGTTGACTCCATATACCTAGGGAGGTGGGGGGAGGGCTAAATTTTGGAATGACTCTTACTGCCATGCTATGCTTCCCAAACATCAGTGATGCCCTATAACCAGACAGGACAATTTCATGAAGTGTAAGAATACTTGGTTACATTCTTGGCTCACAGATGAATTCCATACACATTTCTCAGCTATTAGGGCTCACGTGATTTTGTGTAAAGTGTAGATAATTGAAAGACAATCACCAGGCCTCTTTTTCATCATTATCTTCCCTTATTCAATTTGTATTTTCAAAATCAGAATTGCTAACCAACTGGTAAGCTTCGGTTTGTGGTTTTCTATCTATCCTGGCTCATGGAAATGACTCAGATAAGTTGCAAGACACAAAGGTGCCTTAACCCACCTGACCTGTGTCCAAAGGGCAGTTGACTTCATCCTTGCGGATAACTACATGCCTAAATTGTGAAATCATTAATAATAACTAACAATCATATTTATTTACTTAATATTATAATAACTAATACTACTCCATCATTAATTATGGAATAGTCATTATAAAGAATAATACTGGGGCGCCTGGGTGGCGCAGTCGGTTAAGCGTCCGACTTCAGCCAGGTCACGATCTCGCGGTCTGTGAGTTCGAGCCCCGCGTCGGGCTCTGGGCTGATGGCTCGGAGCCTGGAGCCTGTTTCCGATTCTGTGTCTCCCTCTCTCTCTGCCCCTCCCCCGTTCATGCTCTGTCTCTCTCTGTCCCAAAAATAAATAAACGTTGAAAAAAAAATTTAAAAAAAAAAAAAAAGAATAATATTATCTATGAAGAAGAGAAAAGAAAGAAAAGAAGTATAAAATGTACCATTACCTTGGAGTATGTAACTTAAACAATTTAAGCTCTGGGGAAGAAAAGAAGAAGAAAAAAAAGAAAGACGATACCAAGTTAAACAGTGCAGACCTCTTGGCCAACATTTTCTTCCAGGACATGTGACGCAGGAGAGATGAGCAAGACTTGTCTTCATTGGGGTCAGGCAGGCCTCTCACTTCTTGCCTGATTGATTCTTTCATAGGACATAGCCCAGAAATATAAGTTAACTGCTTTACCTGCTGTCCAACTGAAAAAAAATTTTTTTTCTCCCCAGGACTTCAGGACACACTGGCTACCATGAAATCAACAGGTGGTATTGTGTCCAATATGGACCCTCCCTCAGGAATTTTCAAAGGCAATTTTGACCATACTTGATTTTCTTCTTTTGCTTTGACTATAAAGTCTAACTGCTATGTAAGATTCCACCCCCCTCCCCGCCCCATATTTCCTGAGCATAAGGTGGTAATTACAGACTAACCAATAGTTAGGCTGATGTAGGCAGCGCCTTGTGTTAAGGAGGGGGGTGGGTTTGTCCCCTCTACCAGGATGAAGTAAGTATCTCCACATAACACAGGATCCAGGAACTGGAGATGAGTCAGGAGCCTGGTGGATTAGTGCCTGGTCTATAAGAGACTTGAAAAGTCCCTCGTCTGCCTCAAGTGGGTGGATGTTGTACAGCTTTATTCCAAGTTGAGTAAACGAATGAAGAACAGAGCTGGCTACATCCACATCACATAACTATGAGGACGGAGAATCGAGACCATCTGTGTCAACATAACTATTTCTTCCAGGATATTCGTACCCAGGATGTTAAGGCTTTAAACCAACAAATCACTTTGCTATTTGCTGCAGGAAATTCCTACAAGACAATTTGTCCTGGCAAACAGTTTGCTCACCTGGGAAAAGCTTGCTCATCAAACAATAGTTAACTTGCCAAGATTCTATTCAAGACCATTGTCTTGCTGAATCCACCAATCCGGAACTATTATGCCACATGCTCTGCTGAAATCCGATCAATTCTCTGCCTTGGAAAATACAGCTTAAGGGACCCAAGCCCAGACCTCTGAACCCTATGAAGATGTCTCCCGTCCTCCCACTTGCACACCAGTGGGACTGTGTCCTGATGATGTCCTTCCTTACTGTGGTTGGCTTGTTGAATTTAGCTTTGCTGTATCAACAAGGCTCTTCTGATAGATTTTTATGGAGTCCAAAATTGACATAGTAAATCGGTTTAGTCTTTTGCAAATGGGAAGCATATACATGCAAGTTAATACACACTTGCAACCCATCAAGATGGGAGAATTAGTAAACATTGTCCGTTTTCCTCGGTAATTAGGAGGCTCCTGTGTTATTCCTCCTTTGAGGAAAAAGATAGGATGTCTGAACGCTTTCCTATGACAGATTTCAAATGCACATTTTACCTCCGTTTTTCTACTCCTTTACATGATCTTGTTTTTTATACAAAGCAAAAGCCATAAGAAGGAAATGAATTCCCAAGTGCAAATTTGAAATGACCACCAAGTCTTAATTTACAACATACACACAGAGTATATAAAATACCCATTTAGAATCTCATTAAACTAGCAAGGTAATTTCAACCCATTAACATCTATATGCATATGGAGAGTGGCACAGTTTTAATCATGCCTTGGTTCTCTCTTGCCTGATCATAAGAGGCCTCTAAGTATTTGATAAAATACACCAGCAAATAACAATCAGTCTAGGGTGAGACCCAGGAATCTGTTTGTTGTTGTTGTTGTTGTTGTTCTTTAAAAAGGACCTACGTGATTCATACAGTCAAGTAAAGTGCAAAACACACTTGCCTACAGCATCGGTTGACTGGAATGCAAAATCCAGCTTCTATCATAAAATCATCCAGTTGAAAAAGGAACAGATAAAGATTGCCTCAACTGTTTTATACAGGGTTGCATCTCGCAGGCCCTAGATCCCGGGCCTGTCTGGAATCACTAGGTCACAAAAACTCCAACCTACTGTAAACCCAGTAACAGCTCGCAGCTGGGTTCAGGCAAACTTCCCCCCCCCCCCCACCCCTCCAGAGCTGGCTCAGAACAGGCTTCACTCTGCAGCTCCTCAAGCAGCCCAGCAAAGTGAGAAAGCCTGCCCATTAGAAATCCCAATCAAGGCTTCCTTTTACCTTAAAGAAACTTCCTCGCTTGTCCAGACCGCGGGCACCCATGGTCCAAGCTGACATCTCCCCCAGCGATGCTCTATTGCACGCCCGGGACTCCTGAAGGTAGAGATATTTTTAATGGTTAGTCCAGCCTGTAGGAAATTCCTTTCTAAGCCACAGAACACTCACAACAACAGTCCTGCCAAGATCTTTTTCCGTCAACAACACAGTGCCATTTATTTCCCACCAAAGCCCTTCCATCCCCTTTCAGGCTGATTTCCTGCTCCAGACAGCTCAGTTCCTAGTCTGTGCCCCACCTCACTGCCCCACCTCCTGTTTCTCCAGCTGACGCAGAAGGTCTCTGGGACTGCGGAAAGTATAATGATTGCTTTGTATGTTTGCTTGACCTCATGCTCGAGTCCTAAAGGGACCGATATTAGATGTCACCGTAATCTGCTCTGAAGCTTATGGACTTAATGTGGCTGAACACAGAGGGACAGCAGAAGAATGAGGCCCTGCATGTCCCAGGAAATCCTGCCGGAATGAGATGAGGTCATCATCAGCTCTGCTAGCCCTCTCCCCCAGGCAAGGTCAACACAAGGGCACTGGGAATAAATCCCTTTATTTTCTCCTTAGAAATCAAAGATTGAGATGAAATCCTACGTCCCTGTTTACAGAGATAAGTTTGTATAAGAAACAACACGGAAACAGCTCCATGATAACCCAAGGGGAGGGGGGCAGTGCACTTTGGAATGCAGAGAAAAATTTAAAGGCATGATATGATCCTGAATCATAACTGTGGTCATTTCAGCTTGGAATTTCCCTCACTTGAGCATCAAAACTCGATAATCTTCCCTCTTGGCTACAAAGCCTTCAGTGTCCACTCCTAAGTAAAACACACACACACCCAGGCAGCTGGCCTTACCCCAGCCAGCGTGCAGTGCAGACCTGGAGAGGAGGGCATCCCTAAACCTTCCTTACCCAGGGAGGCTGGGCCAGGAGCAAGTATAAAACTGTTCTCCTGCTCACAATCTCTTCTGTTTGCCATAACACACTCAAGACGAAGCTCGTCCTGACCATCACCAACATGGTATAAGGACAATAAAGTGAAAACAGGTCACGCCACATTAAGGAATATTAAAGGGGGTTGAGCTGCAGGGGTGGGGTCGGGAGGCACCAAAGCCAAAGCCACAGTAGCTGCTGCCAATTTGCAAAAGCAATTTCATTATTGCCGGGGGTGGGGGGGG